CGATGGTCTGCTGCTGGCTTCACAAACCTCGCCCTGCGTCTCTCTGGTTGCCAAAAGGGCCTCATACCCTCCCACCCTGTTTCGTGGGTGGAGAAACAGAGGCTGGGACGGGGACCGAGCTGCAGGTGTGTGGGGCGTTTAACGTCCAGCTAGGCTCTAACCCAGATCAGGGTGCACCGCACACACGGAGGGGGTCTCTGCTGCAGCTTAGAGTGAGTGCGGCCGGCTTTAGCAAGTAAAAGCATAGGTCACCCAGTTAAACATCACTCCCAGGGGCTGGGGAATGTTGTTCAGAGTTGGAACATGTAAGAGGCCGTGAATTTGACCACAAACACCAGAAAAAAAAAAAAGCTAGAGAAAAATGAATAATTTCTTAGTATATGTATGTCCCAAGTATTATTTCTTCGAAACTCAAATTCATCTGCCCTGCCCCCCACTAGAGATTGAACCCAGGGTCTTTGCACTGAGCTACACTAGCAACCCTTTTTATTTTTGGGTCTCATCAAGTTGCTAAATTGCTGAGGCTGGGCTCGACATTTAGATCCTCCTGCCCCAGCCTCCCAGATTGCTGGGATTACAGAAGTGTGCACTACACCCAGCTAAATGCTTCATGACTCCGACCCCTGATTTCTGCTCTTGCAGTTCCTCTAGCTACCTATTCTCTCCCCACAGCTGACCTTTTTCTCTCCCTTTTTTCTCTCTTTTTTGGGCAGTACTGGTGACTGAGTCCAGGGAGCTCTGAGCTGCATCCCCAGCCCTTTTCATGTTTTCTTTTGTTTTTAAATTTGGGACAGGAAATGGAAACAAAGCTTTCGTAAAGGGGGAGGGGAGGAGGGGCTGAAGAGAGGGTAGGGGAATGGGAAAAAAAGAAGTTATATCATTACAGGTACAAATTCTCTATAATGAATGTGACCATTATACCTAAAAGTACCATAAAATCTGATTTTAAAAATTACCAATAAACCAGGCGTGGTGGTGCATGCCTGTAATCCCAGCACTTGGGAGGCTGAGACAGGAGGATCGCTGTGAGTTCAAGGCCAGCCTGGGCTACAAAGTGAGCTCAAGGCCAGTCTAAACTGCATAGCAAGACCCTGTCTCAAAAAGACAAAAAATTTAAAAATTAAAGATTAATTTTTTTTGGTACCGAGAATCAAACTCAGAACCTTGTGCTTGCCAGGCAGGTGTTTGTGCCTCTGAGCTATATCCCCAGCCCCCAAAATTAAAAATTACCAATAAATCTTACTTAAAAAATTTGAGAGAGGGTCTCACTAGATTGCCCAGGATGCCTCCTGATTAGCTGGGATTACAGGCAAGGGCCACCATGCCCAGCTCCTCCAGATGGCCTCTGCCCCCTTGGCCTCCGTGTTTTCAGGCCCCCCCCCTGCCCCGGCCACTCTCGGCCACACCTGCCTGGCCACCCAGCGCCCAGCTCTGCTTCCGTCAGGCTTCGGCAGCCCGAGTGTCTGGGTTCCATTTCCTCCCACGCACTCCTCGGTGCCCTTCCTGTCCCCCAGAACCTAGCCCTGGCCCCTGGACTCCCGAGGCGAATGCCCAGGGCCGACAGCTCCTGGTCCTCTCCAGCTGGGCCCCTTCCTGAGCCAGCCTCATCCGTGTCCACACCTGCTGGGTGCCCAGCGCCCAGGCGGGAGGCTTTACTCTGCTCCCTGCTTAGAACCTGTGGTGTCTCCTTGGCCCTTAGGATGAAGTCAGAAACAGACCAAGCCCCTCGGTAACCCTGCGTACCTCAGCCCTCTTTAAGCCGCTCCCCATTCCCTGAACAGACTATTCGCCGTCCCGCTGGGCTGCAAGCTGCTTCCGGGGTCACTGTTCTCCTTCCCAGCCCCACCTTGGAGGACTCGGCTCCAGCGTCACCCCTCCTGGAGGATGCCTGTGCCCTCCAGACTGGGTTATTCCTTTGTCCGATCTCTGTACACCCAAATCACCTGCGGCTTGCCTGGCCTCTCTCCTCCCCTCTCGGCGCCCCAGGGCCTCACCCGCCGCGGTTCCGATTCCCTCTCACCCGCCTGACACCAGCCCCATCCCCTCTGCCCAGGCTCTGACCTAACTGGAGGTCCCAGCTCCCTCGTGACCTTCCTCGTCCCGACCCTGACAGCATGCCCAAGGCAGGACTAAAGGTTAGCATCCCTCTTCCAGCAGTGCATCCGGGCCTCCTAAGACCCGCGGAGGGGCCCAGGAGGCAGAGCCGCAGACTTCTGGGGCCCGGGGGGCTTCCCTTCTGGAGGAGGGCTTTGGCTAGGAAGCCTGGCACTGCCACCTGCCCCTACCTCTCCCTGCAGTGACCTACCGGCTGGCTGGGATGGGATGAATTGGGATAGGGACGGGACAGGGAGGTTGCAGGCCTGGCCTGGTCTTTGGTGCCCTCTAGAGGACAGTTTCATTCCCAAATTACAGCGCTGGGCAAGCAAGTCCTCTCCCTGTCCCTTGAAGGGCCTATCGGCCCCGGAGAGCCCCAGTGTACCGCCCGCTGTCCACCACCGCACCGGCAGGTGTCCTCACAGTCTGCACACCAGCAACGCTCCCTCACATCTCAGCGCTGGGTCACCAGCTCCAACGCTCCACGGCCGCCCTGCCCTTCCAGGCCTCGCCCGGCCCTGCAGCTGGCCTCGCTCCCTGCTGACCGGCCTCAGGCCCTGAGATCCCACAGTCCGCAGTGGGAGCCTCTTGGCTCCGCTTTGGTTTCCTTGCGCAGGAAAGGCACAAGGGAGGCGATTTCCTCAGGGCAGGGCCCCGGCCCGCCTCCCGCACTGCGATTTCCCTGCAAAGAGGGCTTTTGTGTCCTCCGTACTCCCAGAGGACAGGCCTGAGTCTCCCCTGCCCGAGGACCGACCCAGGGTCTCCCCCTGCACCCCTGCACCTGGCTGTTGGGCTCCAGAAATTTCTACCTCCAGTCCGCATTCCACATAGCTCGTCCTTAGCTGGGGCTCAGGAGCCTTCGGGTCTGGACGCCTGAGCGGTTACCTCGGGCTCCGGCCCCACAGGCCGGCCCGACCCTTGGCTTGGAGGACTGGGTCCGGGAGCGCCCGCCAGGGATTCCACTTCTCCCCTCACGAGGGCCGCCTCGGGGCTCGGACGGCCACCAGCAGAAGGAGAGATGCTATTTCGGGCGGTGTCCTGGACTCGGCTCAAGCGGCATGGGCCAGCCCCTGCCCTACTGACGTCTCCGCTGGAAGAGCAGGAGCGGCCGAGCCTCCCTTCCCCGCTGGGGGGGGCTGAGAGGAGGCGGGCCCTAGGTTGGGCACACAGACAGCAGAGGCACAGCCGGGAAGGCAGCCGGAGCCAGGCCTAGCCATGGAGGAACAAGGTCAAGGCCTGCTTTAACCGAGGAGCGCCAGGCAGAGCCCGAGAAGTAGAAACGCACCTCCGCAGGGTGAGTGGGGCTGCAGGCAGGGTGGGGCAGGGCGGAGTTAGCCCTTGAGACCACACAGGAGGAGGCGACGGTGGGACTGTCTGGAGCAGGGAGTCCGCGGGGTGAAGGCTTGGCTTTGTGCGCTAGCTCAGCCCCGTGACGCCGTGTGACACAGGCGCCGCGCCCCGGCCTCAGTGTCCTCACGGATCCACTGTACCCACCATTGTACGGATCCA